CCCACCTACCTAAGTTCTTCCCTATTAACAGACCAAGGCAGTTTCTTTATTCATTAATGGTATTCAGAGCATACATAGGGGAACCCCACATCAATCTCTTATGATTACCTTATTTTGAAATCTATTTTGTTAGGATAACTACAGTAGATGGCTTCTTTCGTCCATTTTAATGGAAAGCCTTTTACCAACTCTTTACTCTGAAGAAACGTCTGTCTTTGAAGTTGAGGTGTGTTTTTTGTAATTTGAAGAAGAATGGATTCTGTATTTATATCCATTCTGTTAGTTTGTGCCTTTTTATAGGTGAGTCGAGTCCATTAATATTAAGGGATATTAATGAGCAGTGATTGTTAATTCCTATATTTTTTGGTGTTTGTGTGTGTGTGTGTTTCTCTTCTTTAAGATTTGTTGGTATGAAATTATCAATTGCCTGTGCTTTTGTGTGTAGTAGGAGGAGCTGCTTGTTCATCCTAGCCACCTGGCTAGCTTAGCCCCAAAATAACCACACGGAAACTGTATTAATTAAATCACTGCTTGGCCATTAGCTCTAGTTTATTATTTGCTAATTCTTACATCTTAATTTAACCCATCTTTATTGTGTATTGCCACATTGTAGTGGCTTACTGGGTAAAATTCCCAGTATCTATCTCTGACAGATCCATGGTGCCCTTCTTCCTCCCAGCATTCAGTTCCATCTTTGCCACCTATGTAAGTTCTGCCCTATCAACAGGCCAAGGTAGTTTCTTTATTCATTAACCAAGAAAAGCAACACACAGACAGAAGGACCTCCCACATCATTTGGGGGTACAACTAACTTTCTTGGGTTAGAATTTTTCTTCTAGTGCTTTCTGTAGGGCTGGATTTGTTGATTGGAATTGTTTAAATCTGGTTTTGTCATGGAATATCTTGTTTCCTCTATCTATGGTGATTGAAAATGTTGCTGGATATAGCGGTCTGGGTTGCCATCTGTGGTCTCTTAGTGTCTGCATAATGTCTGTTTAGGAACTTCTAGCTTTTAGAGTCTCAATTGAGAAGCTGGGTGTTAATCTTCTCATTCTGCCTTTATGTTACTTGCCCCTTTTCCTTTGCAACTCTTAATATTCTTTCTTTATTCTGTATATTTTTTGTGTTTTTATTATTAGGTGACAAGGGGACTTTTTGGTGTGGGGGGGCAAGTCTATTTGGTGTTCTATAAGCTTCTTGTATCTTCATAGGCATTTTCTTCTTTCTGTGCCTTTCAGCTGGTATTCTTCTCCTTCTTCTAACCCTATTATTCTTAGGTTTGGTCTTTTCATGGTGTTTTAGATTTCCTAAGTTTTGTGTTTTGACTCTGTTGACTCTAATCTCTTCTTTGACCAATGTATCTATATTTCCTCTATCATATCTTCAACACCTGAGAGTCCCTCTTCCATCTCTTGCATTTTATTGGTTATGCTTGCATCTGTAGTTCTGTTTGTTTACCAAGATTATCCATTCCCAGGATTCCTTTGGTTTGTGTTTTGTTTATTACCTCTATTTCAGTTTTCAAGTCTTGAACTATTTTCCTTTACCTGTTTGATTACCTTTTCTTGACTTTCTTGAAGAGATTTGTTTATTTTTTGCAGTTTTTTTGTTTGTCTTTTCCTCCATTTCTTTAAGGATCCCTATCATCTTCATGAAGTTATTTTTAAGATTGTTTTCTTTTGCTTCTTCTGGGTTGGGATGTTCAGGCCTTCCTGTTGTAGTACTACAAGGTTCTGGTGGTACCATATTGTTCTTTAGGTTGTTGAAGGTACTCTTGCGTTGGCTACCCATCTCTTAATACAACTATTGCAGACAGCCTCTTCATCCAATTATTCAGTGTCTGTGTCTCAAGGATCCTCTCTTTGACTGATAGATGCAGTCACTTTCTATGTCTCATGGAGTCACTCTTGGTCTGCTCTGTGCAGTTGCTGGCTGTGTCTCAGGGAGCCACTGAAGTCTTGGTAGATGGGTGGTTTGGGGGCAGTGTGAGACTTGTAGATTACAGGGTTTGGTGGAGGGGTTCTGGAACAACCTGCCTGCAGGAGACTTGCCCTTGCAGCTGAGGTGGGTAGGGGAGGGACCCTGGGTTTTGCCCCAGGGATTCTAGGGCCTAGAGACTGGGATGTTCAGTTGAGAAGTCACATACTCTTGCTTCTCTCTGTGCAGTCACAGTCTGTCACAATACTGTTTTTGGAGAAGACTTGAATTCAGATTCCAGCACCCACATCAGGTGGCTCAGAACTATAACTCTAACTCCAGGAGATTTGACACCCTTTTCTAGAATCTGGGCATCTGTACTTGCATCTGCACATACACACATATACATGCATGCACACATATAATTAAAAATAAAAAGGCATCTTTCAAAAAGCCTTTCTTTGTGCATTGTAAAAGAATTCCTTTTGAAGTTCCCTTCTTCTCATTTGGAATCATCTATCAAGCATTTCCAGCTGGTGACCCACATGTAGCTGAGGGTAGCTATGAATTTGGACCAATACAAAATTATAAATCTATTTGAAACCTTATGAGATATGTTTTGAGTTTATGTAACTCCACTGTGCATCTTTCAAGGGCAAACTTTGTGGATGTCAATATCCTGCAGCAATCAAAAAGTTAGAGATGCTTACGTCCTTCTGAGAATTAACTGTAAAAATTATTAATGATAGTGTTTTCACTCGCAAGATTTCATTTGCTAGCACAGAAAATGCTAGATGGCCTGAACAACAATGGATAGCATATCTGTATCCTTATGGAAAACATAGCCAAGGGAATGCCATCTCTCAATGGACCCAGGCCTGAGGAAGAACCTATTCATGAACTGAAACTGGCAAAGGAAAATTGTTTAGCAAATTATGTTCTCAGCAAGTCCTGAAGTCAGAGGTGGAGACAATGCAACCAAAATGCCTTCTGTTATAGCCAACGGGAAAAGAAAATCTAGAGGCACTCAGAGGCTAGAGAAAATACATTAGAACCAAACAAATGAATTCTTTCCTTTTCCAGTAAAAGATTAATATCCAAAGTAAACTTTGGGAGATTTCGGTTCAATTATCAACCTTACATGGGTGATGGGTAAATTAATCTATGGCACATTGTAACACAATTCCCCAAAGATCAGCTCTTAAAAAAACAATCAAATTACTGTGGACTAATAAAATTGGGGTGGCTTAACTGGATTGGGGTCTCCCATCAGGTTACAACCGAACTTCTGATTGGGAAACGCTTGCTTCCAAGCTCACTTATGGATTCAGTTCCTCCTGGATTGCTTGCGGTCTTCATTTCCTTTACATGGTCTGCACCATAGGGAAGTTCATAACAGGCTGGTGACTTTAATCAGAGAAAATAAGTAAAAAGGGAAATGAGATGCTCAAGACAGTGATTTTATGATATCATCTTAAAAGTGCCATCCCATAACTTCTGGTATGTGTTTTTCTTTTGAGTTGAGACAGCCAATTGAGTCTACATTCAAGGAAAAAGGATGCCAGATAGGCATGAATTAACATGTGGAGGAAAGGTGAAGAGGCAATTACAGATGACATCTTGGTGTCCCCTCAAGGTGAAGGGGTTTAGAGATGGTGTACAGAGATGGTAATCTGCAGAAAAAGTGAGATCCTCCTGAATGAAATTAGTATCCTGTTAAGATGTGAAATGAGGCTTGATCACATGCTCTGCTCTCTGACATGTGAGCATATGACGAGAAGAGAACCAGTGGGACACCAATAACAGGCATCTCAGTAAATACAGTGTGCACCAGTGTCTTGACCTTGGATGTCCCTGCCTCCGTAACTATGAGAAATAAATGTTTACTGTTAAAGCCACCCACTCTATGTAATGTTACAGCAGCTGGAAGTAACCAAGACAGAAGTCATCTTATAGGCTGTCTACTTTAATGTGTTCACTGTATATAGGGTTAGTGAGAGCACATGGTATAGATCCAATAGTGCATGGAGTATGTATATGTGTGTGTATATACATACATACATACATATATATGTATGCATATATATATACATATATGAATGTATGTATTTTTCTGTTAGGGATATATGAAGAGTAAAATAGTAGTCATGGTCCCTGTAGAGAACAGGTGCCAGTCACAAGTTGAACTCTGAGCTGATTTTGAAGGGGGACTATTTATAAAAATAAAGGTGAAATTGCAAGGAGTAGGGCTTGCCTGACACATCGGTGTCCCTAGGTATCAAGCAATAAATCAAAGGAGAGATGATGAGGAGTAGGAGAGGGTATTTAAATGAGAAGACAGATTTTTTTTTTGTTAAAGCATTTAGTGATCTTGTGGTATCTCCAGGCACGTGCTGGTGCCAGGGGATAGAATAAATACCTTGACTTCACTATTTACTGTTTCCTACAGCTCTCTCTGCTGGCTGAATCAGAGGGTAATGGAGTCTGCTGATATAGTCAGCATAGGTTGGCCTCTAGAACATATAGTATCAGGCAGAAGGCAGAGAAATGAGTTGGAGAGACAATCAAAAGGTAGAACATAACAGAAATGTACTTGAAAGGAAAATCATATTCATAGTCGACAGAAAGGAACAAACACACTTGCATGAATAGGCATTGCTCAGAATGAGTTAAGTGGAGGAGTTTGCTGATAGAGAAGGGTATTCAATTTCAAAACGGGCTTTCAAATAATTGCCCCTTTGGAAGATCCTTAAGCATTGGAAACACATATCCACCTCTATAAAATGATTTGGGAAAAAAATTGTACTGATGAAAGGAATGTGAGTGGCTAAGATGACTTTGAAGGGTCCTTGTAATTTGAGGACTCGGTGTTCCAGGAGCAATGGAAATCAGGGAATAGGATCTCCTGCAAAATATTCACAACTCTTTGAAATGGAAATGAGGCTATTCCAATTTCAGAATCAAATTAAAGCAAGTATTCAGGGTGTTAGCAGGCAGTGCTGGAGCCCGTTTGAAGCAGCCTAGAAAGGAGGGAAGCGTGCTTGTCCCTGGATGAAGCAGGATCTCACTCCGCCTGCTTCCGTCTTTACTTTTAGCACCTGCTGGCTTGGAGTGGTGTCGCGCAAGCAATCAGAAGGTGGGTGGATGTGCCAAGAGCCTGACCTCCCCATGGCTGCTGTCCCTCCCCCTACAACCCATGACAGCCTGTCCTGATATAGATGGACCTGGGACTGGTTTAAAATGACAGTCTCAAGTTCTTTGAGGAAGAGAAGAGTAATTCAAAGGAACAGCCAGACAAGCTTCCTTTCTCTGCCGGAATAATTATCAGCCCCCTTCCCCATGGCCCACCTGGGAGCCCATTTTGCCTTTAGATCCCGCTGGCAGAAGACCGATGATGAACTCTGTCGACATAGCATGTCCTTTATCCTTCACAAGGCCATTCGCAATGACTTCTTTCAGAGCTATCTCTACCTGCTGGAAAAAATTCCCCTGGGTAAGTGAGTCAGAGCTGCTAGACAAGAGATAAGAAGGGACTGCAGGGGTTGTATGAGGTTACGGGGCGCCTAGGAGAGAGGTTAGAGCAAGGGGACTTTCCAGTCAAGGAGAATCCAGACCAGTGTCAGCGGGTGAGATGCTTGCAATGACTTTCTTTTATGGAGAGGGGAAGATCAAGGGCTGCCTGGCAAGCTTGAACTTTATTTTAGGGTTTTCCAGCCCCCTCAGGCATAGTGACTTGTTGCTTTAGGTGTCAGCTGGGTGACTATGAGGCTTAGAGAAACTCAGTTCTTGAGTTGTCACTGGTGTGGATCCTAACTACTCAAGTTGGAAAATTAGGTAGCTCATCATTAAGAACATTAAAGTAATAGTATGCTAAGCAAAAATTGAAAACAGAGGTCGCATAAGAAGGGATCAAAGTATATGTGGGACATGCATGGTTTTGTATGGGTGGCATGTTTCTGTCTGTGTGTATGTATACTATCTGTTCTGGCCTCCCTAACCTCCCTAAGTCACAAGTATCATAAGGGAACTTCAGAAATCAAGGGGTAATAGTCTGCCTTCACCCTCCCACCCCATAGTTTCAGGGAAATGGGACAAGAGAGCAATAGAAGCTTATCCTTTAAGCTTTCGGCACTGATTTAACCCGTGTAAAGGTAACAAACGTCGGGACACTCTAACTAGCACTAAAGAGGAAACGACTTCTGATTAAAGAGTGAAGTGCCCCTTTCCTGTCTCTTTGACTTATATTTTCTCCAAGTGAAAACAAGAATGCTGTTTCTCAGCCTTGGTCTGTTTGCTTAAGGTTGTCTGAAAGCCCCATTGTGCACTTGAACTGGCCCCAGTTTCCTGCTGTGGAAAAAACGACATAGTTCTTAGGGTTTCATTCAAGAAACTGGATGTTAGCAGCTATCAAAGTCTCATTTCATGCATTTACTTCTGAGGGTTCTTTAATTCGAGCCCCACAGATACTTTCATCTTACGTCTATACAACTTTCATGTGAAAATGTTTCTCTTCTAAAATTTTGATTTCTATAGCTAAGCTACACAACAGGTAAAAATCACCCTTCCAGTTCCCTACTTCTTTCTGACAATTTTAGTCTTTATGTGAAAGAAAGAAGATTCAGAGATGTGTTAGTTAATTTAGAGTGTCACCAAAGCAAGTTGAAGGCTTTCCCAGTAAAACATACGCATCTCCTTTACCCTAAGAGAAAAACTGGGGTGACCTGTCGGAGGCTTATAATGCCCTGGTGGCTCCAGGCATAGGCAAATCACTGGCTGCTGGGGGACAGTCTTTACAGCTCAATATGAATCTTCAGGAACACCGTGTGATTTAGACTAGAGAAAGCTACCAATGATAACAAGTGCAGGAAAGTCACTAGTGGTCAGATGACTGACAGCCTTTAAAGTGGCAGCCAGACAGAAAAGGGACTCACTTCTGAACGTAGATGTAAATCAGTTAGGAATAAAATAATCTTTAATCAAAATCAGATGACAATTAGTTTAAAATATGTAGCCTACAGTTATATTTGGTCTTTACTTAATCTAATACAATCATTCTGATTTTATGGTGTTTTCTTTTATCCATCTTCTTTTTGAGTGTGTGAATGGTTGATTAATCATTTGCAAAAATTGATGTTTTTAACAAAATAGTCCATGGAAGCCCAAAGTAAAGTCAAAGGAAAAGTACAACTTTTCTGCTTAGGTTCAGAGCAAAGGACCTGTTTCCAGTCTTTGCTCTTGCCTCACCAAGAGCTTCTGAGAGACTTGGAGAGTTCCTTTAGTGAGTACAACTGGAATAAAGTCAGTATGCTCCAAGCCAAAGTTGGACTTATCATTACTTAACTTTCCATAAAAGAACACTCTTTATTTTCTTTATCCTGAGAATTCAGTCTGGACGCTAGTTTTCCACAAACCTGCATAACAACAGTAACTGAGAATAATATCAGTTGGAATGGGTTAGGCTCTGCTGCAGTAACAAATGAATTCCGAGATACTGTTGGTTGCACCCATGCATCTACCCTTGTTGTCATTTTTTTTTGACATGCAATGTTTATTATGATGTGGGCAACAATATTCCTCATAGGCATAAAGGGATCCAGGATGACTGAGTTTTCATCAGCCAGATAACACTGGTTGCTAAAGGCCTGTTTGGTAGCTTCAGGTACTTTAACCCAAAATGACATATATTATAATTTTTTAGAGTTCATTGGCCAGAAATATAAGATTATGGGTGATGTGAGTGTATATATAGTCATAAAGTATTTCTGCTGTGAGAAAAAATTTCTGCTTAGAGATAATTATGTCATACACATATTTTCTGATCAAGCTGGTCATATTCAGTGCAAGAAACAGTTAGGGAATAACATTCAAATAAGTATTATAGTCATATTACACAAACACGAGAAGTAATCTTCTTGCAAGTTATTAATACCTTTGAGCATCAGTTTTCTCAAAACTGTAACAAGGGAACTGGAAGAATTACAAGCAGTATAAATGCAAAAAAAAACCCCATCAGTTTTCAGTAGGTGTTAGATTTTCCTTTACTTCCTCTGTACCAGGCTTCTTCTAAAGTCACTATTTAATGTTTTTTAGAGCAGGAATTACCAAAGACGATAAACTTAATATGTGTGAGTTTTCAGGATGTAGCGGATATTATTCCTTTTAGGTTGGAAATAAAACAGCCAGCAGAGATGCTGCCTCCCCAGCCCCACAGAAGTGCTTTAGTGTTTGGCTTCCCTTGTTCTTGATGCCTTTAAGACTTCATAAAAATGAAAATAAAGCCTCTCTTTTTAAAATGTTAGGGAATGAATCCTGCCTGTAGGGTCTGCACAGAGGGCTGGTTGTTTAGGGGTAATTATGGAAAGTACTGGGGTAAACCAGTCTTTGATTCCCTCTTCCTTTCCCCATCCCCCAATCATCTGTGTAAGGTGCCCAGTCTTATTCCAGTTCGCTCTGTGGTAAGATCTGTGATGGAGAACTTTCCTCAAGCATCCCTGACTAGCTCCGAAGATGTCTGCAAGCGCTGAGACCCAGAGGACTGAAGTGTGCAATGGTAGACGAAACACTGCTGTTGCCTTAGGAGATTTTTCAGGAGAGGGGAAACAAGCTCATGACTTTTAGTGTTTTATAGTTTTTAAAACTTCAGCTCATCGTCACAATATCCTATTGGGCACGATCTTATTCCCCATAACTTATATTTGTGAAACTAGGCACAGAGGAACTAGAAGGTTCTGCTAATGGTTTAACAGTGGTATGTGGCAGGGCAGGATTCCTGCCGAGGCATCTGTATCCCAGACTACTTTAGAACAGTTACATATCCTACCTACCAATGGGAACGGACACTCAGCTAAAGTGGGCAACAATGCATATTTTTCCACATGTAATTTTCAGTTTGACAGTCAAAAAAAAAACACAAAAAAACAAACCAACAACAACAAAAAAACAATGGCCTATAAAGAGAATTGATTCTCTGTGGGGATCAAGGTGGGTGGGTCACTGAGTAGGTTCATAGAATTCAAGTGACATTGGTTCATTTGGAGATTTGGGTTCAAATGTTTTCTAGAGGGGGTTGCTTATGAACAAATGGGAACGGGTATAGAAAAAGATATGACTGTAAGTCTTTAGTCTGTCAGTTCTTAAAGGGCCCTGTAAATAACACCTTTTCCAGTAAGTGGAGATCAGTGACTATCTGTCAGCTGTTTTACTTGGATTCTATGGCTCCTGGACATTGTTATGTAAAAATGGTTTTGGGTGATTTGTTAGAAGAACAAAAACATTGTTCAAGTGAACTTGTCTTGGGGCCTCCTCTCATACGTCTTTTGCTAAGTGGAACTATACTCAGTCCTGTTCTCCCTGCACTCGTTTGGGAAGTGACAATTTTAACTCCAGTCTTCTAAAATATTAAAACCCAAGCTTATGGGGTTAAAAGAAGGACTATGAAATGCCCACACAATCCCAGGCACATAAATACTCAGTAGGTATTTTTCCTCTTCTGTCATTGACTCTCCTAGAAGAATCAGTCTTTGAGAGGAAGTCAAGAGCAGAGGTAACCTATTCACTGTACAGTTAAAAGTGAGAATTACTCAAAACATTTTCACTAAAACAGTTAGAACTTCCACAACCAACTCACCATACAGCACCTCACCGTAATTGATTTCAGCCATGTCACTGGCATTGCCACACACTTCATTGCGCAATCTGAAAAAAAAATCATCAAAATACAGTGTATGGAATTCTTAAATTAATAAAAATATTGTATCTAAAAATTTAGGATACTTGTTACTTTTGCAGTGCAAATGCTACAAGGGCATTTTCTAAAGGAGTGAAGAAAAGATAATTTCTTTCTTTTAAAAAAAACTTATCTGATGCAATTTTGAGTCAAAGTGTATGATGAAGAAGCTATGGGTGTTGGGTTTGCATAGAACTGGGATCAAATCTCAGTTGTGTCGTTATATCTGGATAATTTAACACTTACTTGTTTCTTAACTTTCTTCTTTCTTCTTCCTTCTATAGACATATATATATATATATATATATATAAATTTATCTTACCTCATCAATGAGATAAGTTCCTTGCATGTATATAGATTTGATCAATTAAAGGTAATATAAGTCAGGAAATAAGTGCATTTTTTGCTCTTATTTTCTGTTGCAAACAATCTCAAAATTTACAGATACGTTACAATTCTGTTACAAAATACCACTACATGCATTTCCACTGTAAAAAGATGTGGGCTAGTGACCAGTTGCCTTATTTAAGCCAACATGAACTATGCAGGAGTCATCAAGGGGGCAGAACCTGGGAATGGCCATGGCACCTCATATATCTTTCTTAGAGAAATGCATCTGTCAGTTAGGTGAAAATGAGAACTCAAGCCCCTAACCATAAAAGCCCTCCTAGTGAAGCTGAAACCCACTGAGCCCTTTATTGACTTGAGACCAAAATGTTGCTGGTGTAATGAACCATGCCCATTCCTAGATTAAGGCATTTAATATACACTACTAACTTGCTGACTTAAGCAGTTGATGATGAATGTGGCTAATTTGTTGCTTTACCTGGATCAGGAACATTGAAGGGGTTAGTGAGATGGCTAGGCAGGTAAGTAAAGATAGTAGTTGCCAAACCCAAGGACCTGAGTTTGATTTCTGGGACCCATGTGTTGGAAGGAGAGAACTGATGCTTGCAAGCTGTCTTCTGATTTCTATAAATGTGCTGTATCAAATTTCTCCTTAGAGTGTGTGTGTGTGTGTGTGTGTGTGTGTGTGTGTGTGTGAGAGAGAGAGAGAGAGAGAGACTGAGCCTCTGAGTTGTGGTTAATCCAGAATCCCAGAAGAACATTCAGTCCTGAGAAGACCCTGAATTGTGCTTTTCTAGCTTGATGTTTTGAAGAATACAGAAGAATTTGGAACCATCATAATGTTGGGAGGGTGGCACCTGAATTTCCCATCTTTTTTGAATTTATAAATATTTGTTGATTCATCTGCAAAGTGATCTAAGTACAGTTGACTCTACGCAGAGAAGTTGGGAAGAGAAGAGGTGGTAGGTCAGCGGTGGTCATCTTTGGATCTGAGGTCCCTACTTTCCATTCATATTATCTCATTCAGTAGTCAGTTGTGCATAAATTGCCAAAAGAGTCTATATATAAGCAGCTTTAAAAGATTTGTACTTTAAAACCAACATGCACATATAATAGTTATTATACATTGAGGAGACTGTGCATAATACTATATTGACTTCCAGAAAATAATCTGTTTAGAAACTAGCTTCTGTAACCCTTCCAGAAAACCCCTGATCATTTGTTACCCAAACATTAGTTCCAGTGTCTTCAAGCTGGAAAATCTTGATTTAATTCTGTTTGGGGGGCACAGTTCTAGTCACATGCTATCTATTGTACTTTTAACTTTCAGAATACAATTTTGGAATTATGTAGCTATTGATTTTAGAATCAAGCAGCACCCTGCTTTAATGTCACAATTGTAGGAGTTACCTAAAGAAAGGTAAATGTTCCTAGTTAAGGCTAAATACTATTTTTCTTTTGACTCCTACTTAAAATTATGATTTATTTTGTTTTTTGTCTCATGATAATAAGTAAGTTTGAGCCATTGTATATTTTATCTAGAACTTTTAACCATATTTTAGTTCTGGTTGCTGTGAACTGATATGTGTCTCTTTTGAAATTTTACCAATGTATCCTAGATTCTTGGCTACTTTGGTCGAATTCTAGCCTATGATTTCTTTGCAGTCTGAACAGTTTTATCCCAGATCTGATAAGGAGTTGTCATTTGCAGATTTCTTTTTACTGGATTCCCATGTTAGTGGCATCGTCTTCCTGTACACATCAGTGTAGTAATAGGGAACGGCAGGCCGCTTCCTGCTGCCCGGATCCCAGCTAGCTTATATTCGAAATAATTACATGGAATCTGTATTCATTTATACACTGCCTGGCCCATTATCTGTAGCCTCTTATTGGCTAACTCTTACATATTGATCTAACCCATTTCTAATAATCTGTGTAGCACCACGAGGTGGTGGCTTACCAGGAGGATTCTAACCTGCAGCTGTCTCGGAGAGGAGAGTCATGGCATCTGACTGCCTCTGCTTTCTTTCTCCCACAATTCTGTTCTGTCTACTCCACCCACCTAAGGGCTGGCCTATCAAAAAGGCCAAGGCAGTTTCTTTATTAACCAATGAAAGTAACACATAGACAGTTAACCCTCCTCCATCACACCAGCTCTTGATTTTAACCCTTGCTGGGCTGAAATACAGCTTTAAAAAACTCCTGAAAAATGAATCCATAGGAAATAAAAATTCTCACAATTAAATGAGTGTTAAATTTAGCTTCAAAATAAATTTTCCCCAGAATGCTAATGCCACTAAACCATTGCTTCCAATTGTTCTGATGAAATTTGTTTTGTTTGCTCAACTTCAGCTCCATGCTTTGTAAAAGATGCAAGTTACACTGAATCTGACCTTACCAACAAATAGTTTCTGTTTATAGGTATGTCTCAAGTAGAGTACAATATTTTAGGCATACTTATACTAATACATTATTGTTTATCTAAAATTCAAATAGGATTTAAATGGTTTTCTCAATGTTATAATGTTGCAAGGTTAGCATGCAAGCCTCTGGGATAGAACTCAAACCCAGATTTTCTGATTTAAAACCATTGTCCATGCTGGGCACAGCAGTGCAAGCCTGTAATCCTAGCATTAGGGAGGGAGAGGCAGGCAGAGCTCTGTGAGTTTGTTTCCAGCTCGGTCTACAGAGCAAGTTCTAGGACAGGCATAGCTATACAGTAAGACCTTGTCCAAAAAAAATCAAATCAAATCATCAAATCAGTGCCCTTTCATTTACAGCACATATTCATGGAATTTTGAGAAAACCATTACATTGTTTAAAAATGAGATAATTATATCCTATACATTTTAATAACTCTTGATAATATTTTCTTTGCAGTAAAACTGTACGCTTTAACAAGCCAAGTTATTGATGGTGAGATGCAGTTCTATGCCAGAGCCAAACTTTTCTACCAAGAGGTACCGGCCACAGAAGAAGGCATGATGGGAAATTTTATTGAACTATCCAACCCAGATATCCAGGCTTCTCGTGAATTTCTTAGGAAATTTGTTGGGGTGAGTTTTCTGACTGATGCTTGATGAGAGGGCAAAGTCCTTGCAAACTGAGCTCACATGGTTTCTGTGTTGTTAAAGCCATGTGACTCAGCTGAATGGTCAGCCGGAAAGCCTGTTTTAAGATGTTCAGAGAAACGAAGTTCAGCAAGCCCTTGGCTTATCCTACTTGGCTCGTCACCACTGTAGCAGCAGCTAGTCTTGCATGCTTCGGGGGAAAGTGAACTGGTAGCACAGACATGGCTGCATTGCATGACACAGAGAGATATTTCCTTCAGAGAATCAGAGGTAAACAGCAGACACCTAGGAGACTGCTGAGAACTCATGCCTCATGGCACTTCAGATTGACTTACAAAGTCTCGAAACTCTAAGAAATGTGTGTTTGTGAACAGTTTAAAAGCAAGGATGATCGAATCCCTTTATGATTGTTATACATAGTTCAACTTATTACCTGATCAGATGAGATTCTTTTTTAACTCTGGATTTGGTTAAACTTCTTCCTTTTCATGGAAGAAATTTCCAGGTCATACGAGACAGTGGGATACAGGAGCGAAAATTGTAAGCTTTCTAAAGTATCATGGTTCTTCAACCTAATGTATAAACTCCTCTCTCTGAGTATGATATTTCCATGTATTTAGCTTCAGTTTTCTCAACCATGGCTAGGAGATCACAACAGACTCTGTTTGGTGGAAGAAAGTGAAAATCAAAGAAGACTAGAGATATTGGGCTCTTGCTTTAGTTAACAAAATGAGCATAAAACAAATATAATGTGTGGTTATTAGAAATAACACCATGGTGTCTTATCATATATTCAACACATGTCATGCAACATTATTTAGTTTTTAGGCCATTTTAACCCACACAATAAAACTACCATTGGTCTTATTGAAGAAAAATCTCCTAATTATAAGCAAAATTTGTTGCAGGTTAATTAAATGCAATTTGATTAAAATGTGGGTAGTGTTTTATTTTGATAAAGGAAACATAAATATTTAGTTTTAGGGTAAAATTGTCAACCTGCTCAAGATAGTGTGAAGACCATATTGGTGTTGAAGTGAAGTTCTATTCATTCTAAGTCCTTCTGTAGCACCCAGTATCTTAGTAATGAGTCTGGAAGTAGAGACATAGGGTCAGGATTCGATAGCTGTCGGACCCAATGTCTATCTGATGTAAGTCGCAGCCATAAAGGTTTGAAAAATGTAGGGTTTATGACCATGGATGTTTACATGTCAGAATAATCTGTAATACTTTTAAACTAGTGTTGATGACTGATTTCATGGCATGCTTGCTATAATATATTTATATATAATATATATCGTGTATATATATGTATATATACACATGTATGCGCACACACACACACACACACACACACACACACATATGTTTCAGCTGGGCATGGTGGCATATACCTTCAGTCCCAGCACTTGGGAAACAGAGGGAGAGGCAGGCTGATCTCTGTTTATTCCAGGCTGGCCAAAGCTTAGGTCAGTTATTTTGCTGGGTCTTTCAGGAACACCATGTTTTTACTCTTTAGAATCCTTAAGAGTAAAACTGTTGTCAGTTCTTCCTTTGTAGTTGTGGAAATTGAGGCTTGAAGGGCTAAAATAAATTGTTAAGATAGCACACACTGAGACGTCTGTCCAGTCGGGTTAGTCTTACACCAAATTCCTTGCTCTCAGCCACAACTTATGTTTTTTCCATTTGTTTCATGAAGCAGAAAAATCCCTATTTTTTTTTCCCTCACAGACTATAGAACTCAACTCTCTTCTCTTTCCTGGCCTAAGCAGTCCCTCCTGCTTGCCTCATGGTGAGGCCGACTTTGATCCCAAGGCATTTCAGAAGCTTAGCTAGTAATCCAGCTGTCTTGTCACTCTATGAGGAATGCCAAGCTGACCACAGGGATTCTGGTCAGACAGAGCCCAGAGGCACGCCCAGGGACCTGGGAAAGGAAACACTGCATGCTTGCATATTTATGTTGGAAAAGAGGCAGACTGCTTCTTTCAAACAAACACAAGAGTCCTTCTTAGTAGACAAGCCTCATTGTAAAGCTGTGACCTTGAACTAAGAACAAACAGTCTGTTTAAACGAATGATATTTTAGTGCTTTGACCTCAATAATCTGCTAAATTAGTATCTAGGTCAAGAAACAAGGACTTAGGGGATATGAGTATCTGACATGATTTATTCTTGTGTCAACTGGGAAAAGGCAGGCTGTTTAATTTAAAGCTTTGCTTTCCTTTCAACGCTCAGTGATGGGACAGTGGGAAAAGCTGTTTAATCTAGTTGCAAATGTATTTGCTTTAGACAGTCCACAAATGGTACAAGATGATGCCAGCATAGCCGGTAGAGTGTAAAGTTTACCGATAGGGTAAAGGTGTAGAATTTGGTATTTGATGGATTTGTTTCTTAGCTCTCTGTCAAAGATTGGATGGCTGAAATGATGAGATTTGATTTGCATTTCATGGCTTTTATACAGGACCATGAAGCGCTTAGATTTTAGTTTTCAACTTAACGGAATGGGCTTAAGATAATGCTATGTAAAATAAAACAATTAGGCATAATAAGACCAAAAAAGCATAATTAAGAGTGCTTTTATTAATTTGTATGACTCCATAGACATGAAGGTAAGACAATGAATGAAAATGAAATAAAAGCCATCTTGTTTTGAAATCGCACATTGTGCGAGACCGTATTCACATCTATCAAGGGCATCCGATTTCAATCCAGTCACAGCTTCACCAGACATCGTGTCCAAGAGGAGAGAGCAGCTTCTGAGGGCACCCTTTAAATATCCCTTCTCAGAGGTGCGGCCTGTGAGTGACAGACAGAAAACAAACAGCTCTGCCAGGAGAGGGGAGGCAGCGCCAACCGCTTTGGATGAAGCACAACAGAGTAACTAGGCAATGGTCAGAGGGAATGGAGGTTCACAGCACCTGAGTAAGAGGAACATTTGTGTCTGTTTAAAAACAATTTCAGGGATAGCTGTAGCCAAGCATCAGACACCTGAATTGATAAGTCATCATCGGTGAGGGAGAGAATCTTCCCCAGCAGTGGTTCTCACCAGTGGATCATGACGTTTTCGTGGGGGTCACATATCAGCTATCCTGCATATCAGACATTTACATTATGATTCATAACAGTAGCAAAATTACAGTTATGAAGTAGCAACGAAATGATTTCATGGTTGGGGTTCACCACAACATGAGGAACCATATTAAAGGGTCACAGCATTAAAGAAGGCTGAGAACCATAGTTCCAGGGAGTTCTAATTGGAACATTTTCCCCCCTTGTCTTCAGTTTGTTTGCCTAAAATGCAGAGGGATTAAATATCAGTTACTTCAAAACTCTAGGCTCTTGGCTGGCATCCTTGAAGGGCTTCCTTGGTGATTGATGGGAAGGCTGAGAGGGTGGGGTCCCTTCATTTACTGACTTCACTGAGCAATATAAGTGTCCAGCGATTAGAATCCTAAGATCTCTTAGCTCTGTTGTTCATGGTTCTACGTCTAAAGCCACTTGCTACTCTAATGAGATCAACAAGATGAATAGAGTTGCTAGGAGCTAAGTGACTCCAGGGAGCAGTTTCAACGAGAATTTCTTACTGAACACTCTAATTTCCACTAGTCACTGCGCGAAACTTACAATGGTCATTCCACGTTTTCTCCTTTTATGTTTCTTATTTTAATAGAAGATTATGACTTTCATGAGACTTTAAATCCGTTATAGATATATGCTGCAATACTTGAACAAGGGGGGGCGCCATAGTTGAGGCAGAGAAGGTCAGCACGCGGCAATGTCCTACTGCCCTTCTCAGACTTACGGCAGAGATCACCAATCAGTCATACATCCCTTCTCCGTGGAGTCAGGAGAAAGCCATTGAATCCCTTTGAATATCACATTAGTCAGCCCCGACCAAAGGAGTCAGAGTTAGCGCTGTAGGTGTCATTTCTAATGTAGACTGGGTTTGGCTCAGATGGTTCTTGCTCAAATTCTAGTTCTTTCATTAGCTGTTCAATACCATAAACTGGAGTTTTCTCATCTCCAAAATGGGAATCATCATCTTAAAATACACACACCCATATATGTGTGTGTACATGCTTAAATACACACACACACACACACACACACACACACACACACACACACACACATATATACTCTGTCCTCTTCCTGTACATATGCATGCCAGAAAAGGGCATCAGATCTCATTTTAGATGGTTCTGAGCCACCATGTGGTTGCTGAAAATTGAACTCAGGACCTCTGGAAGAGCAACCAGTGCTCTTAACCACTGAGCCATCCCTCCAACCCCATCATCATAACCACTGAGCCATCTCTCCAGCCCCAACATCATAATCTTAGGAAAATTTCTTTGGTTATTGTAATTATTGTGGATATAAGAGCATGTGACATATAAATACTCATTTATTATGGCCCTAACCATATTTGTAGAAAAAGATCATCTTTGTCTCCTTTCTGCTTTTGTTGTACTTGTACCTTTCTCGCATACGGAAAGCCTTTTGGATGAACTGAAAGGCAAATTTTTTTGATGTTTCCTCCTGCTCATGTTTACCTTTGATCCTTAGCCAACTGCAGTTTTCATCCTTAGTTCCTGAGAAATCAAGAGTAGGCTCTCGCCGTAAGATCTTGATTGGTAACTCCAAGTATCCTATTACTGTAATTTCTAGCATGAACCTATTACTGTCCCAATCACAACTAAATAATTTAGACCAGCTGAGTCTTTCTTCATAACTCCAAAGCCTTTCTTTAATTGTGTAGAAGCAAGTTGGAGAATGTTTATATTAACTAATTTCTCAATAGGCACCACCTCCCCTTCCCCCTTCCTAGTTAATGTATAGCCTTAAAGTTTTTTTCTTTCTGTGAACTTGTAGTTTCTGGTTATATGTGTGTGTGTGTGTGTGTGTGTGTATCAGCATTAAAGGAGACAAAGAGTCTGAAGAAACTACCCGAATGAGTGTTTGTGTGTTGCCAGAACCACATTTACTATGCACTCTTGGTTGAGACGGACAGTGGGACAATGGCTATTCCTTGGCTCAGGCCTCAGACATTACCACTCATAGGAGAGGAGCAGATGGTTCTGAGCACTTCTAAACCCAGCTTAGAGAAGCTAAAATTTCATTCATCCCAATATGAATCTTAACGTTTCCAAGAAGTGAATGTTTAGAGTAATTTTGAAACTCATGAAAATTCCTGCATAGGCTCCACCCCACCTTCCCATTTTTCCAGATCTGCCCATTTAGCTGCCGTGGTCCTCAAAGCTATGTCCTCGTAGAGCTGTCTATGGCTCATTTCTTGGAAAGACTTACCCTGTACTGGATGCTAAGAGGATAGTTTGTAATAAGTTTAAAGGAGCTAAATTTGGCAAAAAAATTACCCTTTTTGAAAAAAATGAAATTTCTATATATTGATGTGATTATAGATTGTTATCTATGTGCATTTGTACTAACACATCAAATCATACACATAAATGAAGCATTGATTTGAAGAAGTAATTGTAATGCCCTAGACTCGCATTGAGTCTCTGTATTGAAGTGGCCCACAAGGTATCTTTCCGCAGGGGCCGGGGAGAGCGGGCACTGGCTGCGCCTTGGACTGCGGCTCTGGAATAGGCAGGGTCAGCAAGCACGTCCTGTTGCCTGTTTTCAGCAGCGTTGAGCTGGTGGACATGATGGAGTCTTTCCTCCTGGAAGCCCAGAGCTACTTGCAGGTCAACGAGGACAAAGTGGAAAGTTACCACTGCTACAGCCTGCAGGAATTCACGCCTCACTTAGCAAGATATGACGTCATCTGGATTCAGTGGGTCTCAGGTCAGTCTTGCAGGGCATAACTTTTGCCCTTCACCATTTCCCAGCTAGGAAAGATGACACTTGGGACTAACAAGGACACAAGGGGGAAATAGAGCTGGAGGTGCCCTCACAGCCGCTTTTGTTAGCTCTAACTGTCATGTGGTCTCCTGACAACTCTGGTCCCTTAAATTTCTCCTGACACTGCTGTACAAGCCTGGCAATTCTTACTCCTAGGGATAGAAGTGTTTGGGATCAACCAGCATCTTTGCAGAAATGTAAGTAGTTGAAAACACTTAAAATGTGGGCCCATAAATGGTTAATCCTCATTATTTACTGATAGAACTAAACATTCTGAGACTTAAATCCTTAGGAAATGAAATAGCAATGATTTTATTGTGGTAACACACACACACACACACACACACACACACACACACACACACGCACACACACACCACAGAAAGGATTGTGTTGTATAAGGGAATGCACTGTCTCCTGGGAGGGACAATAGTGTCTTGTGCCTTTATATCCAAGCAGCGTGATATAAAGACAAGGAATTAAAAGCCCTAAAAGAGGATTTGATTCTTTTTATTTTTATCTAAGTTTCAAAGTCTCTTGTAACTAGAACAGTTCAAGCTATTAAACAATTTGTGTGTGTACTGGTGGTAGTCTCTTGACTCTTAGCTTTGCTTTCTTTCCGACTCACCTCCCTCCTGCCCACGTTTCATCTTTTCTTTTTCTACCAATCTGGTCCCGCTTGCAGGATACCTGACGGATAAGGACCTCCTTGCATTTCTTTCCCGCTGCCGAGACGGCCTGAAAGAAAATGGTGTTATCATCCTGAAGGACAATGTAGCACGGGAGGGCTGTATCTTCGACCTGTCTGACAGCAGTGTGACTCGGAACATGGACATCCTCCGAAGCTTGATCAGGAAGAGTGGGCTGGTGGTTCTGGGCCAGGAGAAGCAAGAGGGCTTCCCTGAGCAGTGTGTTCCTGTGTGGATGTTTGCCCTGCATAGTGCTAGACGGTCCTGACCTGCAGTGGGAATGAACAGTCAGACCAGACACTGGGGCTTTGCTTCAGGACTGGGTCTATCTCGAGGTGCCCCATGTGGTGCAGACAGAGATGGAAAGAAGGGACACGGTGTGTGTCTAGAACGATTGATGATGTACAAACTATTGCTAATATGATGCACACGTTGTGATGTGTGCACATTTTCTGAGAGATGGAATAAAACACCAAGAAAGTGCTTCAGGGAACTTCCTGCTTACACCTGAACTATGCAAGTGTGTATGAAGACCCGAAAAAGAAACAACACTCACAAAGGACAGACTGTGTTGGGCACTGATGATTTGTGTTACACAGCTGATCACAGAATGAGGTAGAAAGCCCAGACCCCTTTCCCTGGCCCTGTTTCAGCTACACTATACTTTCTTCCTCTTTGCTCTTATAGCTCCTCTTGAACAAACATCTCCACCTAATTAAGAAGGTACTAGTCAAATAATCTTATGAAAACAAGTCTATTAATTTTGTCTTAGGCCTTCTTTTGGCAGAAAAAGTATATGGTTTCACTTTCTATTTTTGGGACAGTTTTACTACCAATGATGTAATACGGATGTAATCTGATAACAGATGCTTGCATTTCCATGATGAGGAAGTGTCTCCTTTCAGGAGAAATGTTAGACACTGGAGTCTCACCCCAACCATATAAGTAAATGTTGTCAATGATCTAAATTTAGCCACTGGCTTTCAACAGTGCCTGCTTCTTTGCATCTGCTCCTCATTCCTTGAATGAAATGAATGTACCTTGAAAGAGAATCATCAAAAGAAATAGGCAAATAAAATGAAGCTTAAATACTGACTTGGTTGGGTTCAGATAAAGATTTAGTTTAAATAAAATAATCTAAAAATCTTTCAAAAGGGATAATGAAATTCAGTTTTTATTAGCACAATGCTTAGATATGATTATTTTGTTTTTAAAACACCTCAGCACCTTTGTGTTGCAGCAGAGTGATGTGTTTTGACCCTGAAATTTAAAGAACCAATTTAAAAAAAGAAAATCTACTGCATGGTTATATACCACCACAAAAAAATCATATATTTAAAGTCATAGCTCTAGAATAATAGAGAATAGTTATAATGTATTATTATAAATGCAGCATTACTGTCATAGTTGTATTTTTATGCCCAGAAAATTACATCACTTCTGTTCTTGGGACCTTGGCCATTCATGCACCTGGAATGATGTAGCAGAAAGTGAGTCAGACAAGTCAGAGGACAGAATGAAATCAAAGAGTAAACTGTTGGAGACACTAATAGACAGAGTATGACAGAAGCTGGACTTACTCTTGGTGTGTCTCTGAACAAATTAGAATCTTCTTTGGAAGTTGATTTAGGAAAAATGCTGTGGCATTTCATTTGTGTTTTAATAAATAAAGTTTGCCTGAGGATCAGAAAAGTGAAACAGCCACACTGGCCAGCTTCATAGACCAGGCAGTGGTGACACACTCCTTTAATTCCAGTAGCTACACTAGCTTGCCATAGAAACCAGGCGGTAGTGATGCACACCCTTAATCCCAGAACTAGAGAGGAATATAAAACGGGAGGAGACAGCTCTCAGTCACGGTTTCATTCCGGGATTCCTGGAGGCAGGATTCTCATTTCAGACTGAGGTAGAGGTAAGAGCCAGTGGCTGGCTGTTTTGTTTTTCTGACCTTCAGGTTGAACCTCAATATCTGTCTCTGAGTTTTTATTAGTCATGCTTCAGGATTTCCTTTATACCTGCAACTTCAATTCCTTTATCTCTTCTACTTTTCCATAATTGACACATTTGCCTATCTTCTCTGCTCGCAGTTTCCAGACCTTATTGTGTAAATATGATTTCTCATTGGCTACCAATAGATCAACTTTAACTCTGTTGAGTCTTTTAGATTGATAATAAAACAGTCCCCTTTCTGTTGTTGAATCAAATCATTAGCCACTCTACTCAAGTCCTCAGATTTGTGTTATTCTACAAAACCTTCTGAATTCTTAATGTGTCTTTAAGTTAGCCGAGAAAACAAAATTGAAGGTAAACATTGTCACTAGCAGACCTCTGTATTGCTAGTAACCGGTACAAGATAAAACCAACTACGACAAAACGAGAACAGGAATGCCGTAAGGGACTACGAAACAGCTGAAGTAGCCTTAGGAGGTTATGTTAAAGTTTGGGTCTGTTTCTGAAATCAAAAGAAGTTTCTTAGAGGTTGCAAGCAAGGAATTTCTTTTGCTGGTTCTGTCGGGTAGTGGGAGGGAGACACTCAGAGTGACACCCAGGTCAGCCCCTTCTGTCAAGGGAAGCAATGTAAACAGGCTGCTTGAGTTTATCAGCACATCTGGAAACCAGTGGTATAACTGGTAGTTTACTTTGTTGCCAGTACTGCCTCACAGCCCAGCTGCCTCCAAGTCAACGGGAGAGATTCATCAGTGGTGATTTGCAATTTCACCTCCATCAGAGTTTGTTTCTATGAGGTGGGATCAGATTATTCGTATCTACTTAATAAGTTTTTCAACTGACTCTAGGAATCAGCTTTGTTTGAGAGCACTGGTTGGGAAGGACTCATGAAACTGGACCTTTTTTCTCACCTTGGTGCTGGTTATTCTGAAACATAACCTGATGGATTCACACAGAATCTTTCAGTGATACCCCATTCAAGCTCATCATGAATTTCCATGCTCCTGAGAATGTCTTATAATAGCGTCACAGTCTTGTCCTGGTTTGTTTTACTCCCTAGCCTGTTTCTCCCCCTTCCCACAGCTGTACCGATTTGCCATCTCCTGATAGACTCATGATGCACGGCTTAGAATATTTACAGATGGCACTTTTCAAAATGTAGGCTAGATGGCATTAATTTTATTAATTTTTATCTGTCTCAGAATGCTTAGGTGTGTTGATTTCTATTAAAAAAAAAAAGCTTTCTCACGCCTCTCCCAGCTGCTGGGCTGGCTAGTCTGTGCTCTATTCGATTTACCATTTAGCATCACTGTTTGCTTAGCTTTTTATCTTGGATTCTGTGCTCTATGAGAGAATATTCATAGCTAGAGTGCCCGCCCGTCTTGACCATACATCCACCTTAGTACACTGCAGAAATGCAAAGCTCTTGATGAAGGCATGCAAGGGAAGAGTAGGAAGAGTCAAGGCAGGTTTCTGGAAGTAACCAACAGAAATTAGAAGAAAGAAGCAAGCGCAACGAAGGCCTCCGGAAGTTCCAAAACACTGGGTGTAGAAGGTGAGTCAAACTATTGATTAAATAATGCACGTGACAAGGACCAGAAAGTGCCCAGAAATAAGAAAGCCCCGAGCTCAGAAATTAGACCAAGGGAATACTATAACAAGATTAGGTCCCGAGATAAAAGCACTGCCTAATTAGGGCAGCATTCTCCGTTCCCATGCATGTGTCCACAACCATAAGGATGTGTGACCTGGTAAGAAGGAGATGTGTTCAAACAGTGCGCAGGCTATGACAAAGCAGTCCCTAGTTCTCATTGCTTTCCTAAGAAAAACATGTCCAAGACAACGAGGTTCTGGCTGAGGTTAATCAAGCTTTGGACAGTGAACAGAAGGAGAAGGTGCTTGCCTGCACTCCACAAGTGAATGAATTCTAAGTGTGTCACATTCTGAATGAACTTTGGAGGACCCCGCGGGTTGTATGGTGATTCGTGAAACGGTGTAATCGTTACCTGCTCCCTGATTTAAGAACCGTTTGAGTACCAGCCTAGAAGGGCACCATGTTTGAGGGAACAGCAACGTTAATGGTTTCAAACTATCACAAAAAACAGAAAAAGGAAGTAAGTAAGGTCGTCTGTGAAAAAGGTCACCTGTGTAAAAGGTGATCTGCTTTTTATTATGAACACACTTTGGTCCCATCTTCATTTTCTCTCTCCGTCGTTTTCTCTAACTGGCCTTTTTGAGTGATGTATTGAGGAGAAACCCTGTGTCCAATATATTCAGCTGCCTGTCATGAGTAATTAAAACCAGTTGTGTTATTGCTTTCCTTAGCTCCAGCTGACCCTTTGATGCTTTGGTGTCCATGCCAAAAAACTACCTCTTATAATCATCACAGACGAGTGTTTCTGCAGAGGTCATTGCAGGCTAATTAAGCAAATATGTGAAGAAATGGTTTCAAATTATCTCAATTAGTGAGTGTTTATCTACAAATACTTAGGGTTGAGGTTGATGACTTTTGAAAAAATAACTCATTTGCAGAGCTAGTAATTTGATGTCAGAGAAATCTATGTATTCAGCACCTTTGTGCTGGCATGATTTGATCTTTTACTACATAAAAGACATTATACTTTATTTCTGCCAAGAGACATGTAAAAATGTGTAAGGAGATCCTGGCTCAGGAGTGAGAAAGACCAATACATAAGTAAGAATGATTTAGAACAAAAACGCTGGACAAACAGTGTGTATAAAGAGTTAATACAGAGAAAGATGAACTCACTCTATCTCTGAGACTTCAACTAGGTCACAAAGACTTGTCCAACACATTTTTGAATGTCTACCATGTATAGCCACTGCTCTAAAATCTCAGGCCTCTGGCTCTGTAAAACTTAAATTCTGGGATGAGTCTGAGAGGCAATGAATAATCTGACATACATCACTTCAATGCTAGCAAGTGATAGACTTTTGGGGAGAACAAAGTAGGAAAAAAGAGGATTGGGCACAATAGGGAAAGTCTGTAATTCCAAAGAGTGTTCTGTTTCAGTGAAGCCAAAAATGGCTTTACTAAAGGGTAAAGAGCCAAGAAGTAAAGGTACGGACACTAGCCCTGGGGAGAGGGAACGACTGGAGAAAACGTCCTGTCTGGAGAAACAGCCAGAGTCAGTGCAGCTGCAGCAGAGTGCAGAAGGGAAAGGATGCAGCAGGATACAGCGTTCAAGGATGCACCTAGGCTCCTAAGGTTTTGGTCACTGCTCGGAAACAGGAGGTGTTGCAGAGTTTTGAGAAGGGGTTCATCGTGATGTGACTTCTGTTTTCAAAGGGACCCTCCAGCTGTTGTGCTGAGAAAAGATGCCTGGGTAGAGATGGAAGCAAGGAAAAGGAAAAGGGTTTAATTAGGTGGTTGTAAATCGTTAACTCCTGATCCATATACATTTTGTTGTGCTTTTTACACAGACTTTGGAACATTGTCGCCATTTCCTTAGAGTAACAGAGCGGTGTCAAAATGATTGCATGGTCTAAAAGGTAAAAAAAAAAAATCTGTGAATGGCTCTCTACAAAACTTTCTATTGAGCCCTAAACTAGAATAGTGTAGCAATTCTGGAAAAGGGGGACGGTATCTTGACCCAAAGAGGTGGCAATAAAGGTAGTGAGAGGTATTTGGGAAGTGGAGATATAAAAATTCTAGCTATATGCCATTCTAGAAAAGGCAACACTACAGAGTTAGTGACAAGACAGTGGGTACCAGGAGCTCAGAAAAGAAAAGGAGATGGGTAGGTGGGAGTCAGGGGAATTTCAGTGTGGTGCATCCATTCTGCATGACCCTATAATAGTGAGAATATGGCATTATGCTAAAGAATTGTCATAAAGACCTGCTGACCCTCTGCTGTTAAAGTTTTGATCTGCTTTTGGTTTGGATCTCCCTTTGTTGTAAGAGACACCTGCATGTTCCTGGCTGCTCAGTCCCAAAATAACCACACAGAAACTTTATTATTTGCAATACTGTTTGGTCAATAGCTTAAGTGCATTTCTGGCTAACTCTTATATCCTAAACAAACCCATCTCCATTAATCTATGTATTGCCACGTGGCTGTGGCTTACTGGGAGAATTTCGGCATGTCTGTCTCTGGTGGCAGCTCCATGGCTTCTCCCTGACACCGCCTTCTTTCTCCCAGCATTCATTTTAGTTTTTCTCACCCAGCTCTACTCTGCCCTATCAGGCCAAGCCTGTTTCTTTTTCATCAACCAATAAAAGCAACACATATACAGAAGAACTTCCTACATCATCCTTACTTGCCTTGATGTGGTTTATCTTCTTTTTTTACTAATGTACTATGTTAAGTCATTTCTAAAAACTCTCTACCAAAGAAGTGTTTAGGTATTTACTACAATAGTAAAAGTATCATCATGTTCATTGCTTTTTTGAAATCTATGAAATTTCCTTACTTTGTAAATAAAATATATATTAGAAGAAACTTGGGATATTGACTTGAGAACCTGGGGTTCCTAGATCCTGTCTGGTCTCTGGTAAAGCCAATGATGTCTTCCAAAGTAGTAGGCTGGAATATGGGGACCAAGGGAGGGATGCAGTCTGGGGTTGTTGGACAGGATTAAAGGGATTTAGCAGGCAGTGGGCCTCCAGTACAGTTGTTGGAACTGTGGGCCCTAATGTGGAGCCCAGGGGAGGAAGTCTTGGTTTCTTACACGCATACAGTGAATTTCAGTAGTCTTTGTCCCATCCCCTTCTCTTATCTCTTTCCCACTGAAGCTCTTATTTTTCTCAACCTGTTT